TATTTTAATATCGGTAATTTTAGAAGAAAGGTGTACGAGATGATCCCCCTAAGGGAATAAACCTATTATTCAAAGAAAAATCAACATATTCGAGTTTTTTTTGTACGCACTACTATAGATAATTAATAATATCTAACTATTCTGATTTGAAATATATGCAGCTAATTAATATTTTACTGTTAATTTTAATTTTTCTAAAACCTTACAAAAGGATCATCTTGGACACCGGGGTGTCCAAGATGATCCCCATGGTATGGGCAAGATGAGGTGAGACGAAATACATGGGAATCAGGGGAGATCATCTTGTACACCCATTGAGGGATCATCTTGCCCCAAATGCCATTATTTTGTAATTTGTTCGTAACTTAACCTACGAGCTCTGTTATTCCATAATATCAATCAGAACACTTAATTGAAGATATACTGAAGCCGTGAGTACAAGAAACATGGAATTTCAGCTACTACAACAAGAGTTATCTAAGCCCAAAGTTAAGCTTTCCTTAGCTCAAAAGTATGAAATTTTTATTTTTTCCAATAGAATTTTTTTAATGACGCGTGTTGTCATGACCGTTTGACTGATTCATAGGTATGTCATTGGTAACGTATTACCGTATTTGCCTAAAAGGTGGCGCTAATAGGCTGTCCATAATTCAAAAGGATCATCTTGCCCCAGGGGATCATCTCGTACACCTTTCCCCTACGTACTACTTAAGAGTCTCTTTCTGCATACAGACAAGTGAAATTTTTAAAGACAAATTCATTACTATCATTAATTAAATTTACTGAACTACAATAATTGAATCGTGAATTTCGAAAAAGGACTTTTCTTTTATTAAGAAAAATTGAAACCATTTATAATTAGTCCTTCACAGCACTTTTCTTTTACTAAATAGAATTAAAATCATTTTTAATCAATCTCTTTCAAAACTTTTCTTTTATTAACAGCAATTAAGCAATTTTCAGTTTTTCTAAAAAAAATCTTCTGTCATATTGGATCCATCATTTTGAATAATTAACTTTTGACCCCACTAACCCCCAAGTATCAACAATCATCGGAATTAAGTTGCATAAATTGAATTTTGAGAAATTAATCAGCTATATGGGATCCGTCATTTTGTATTTTTTTATTCAGACCATAGACTTGTATTCAATGAGTTCACAAATATGTGACACATTCACAAAATGTAAAAGTTTTAAAGCTTAAATAAAAAATTTTGTATTTTCCATCATATTCGTGACTGTGGTGACCGTCAATATTAAAAGAAGAATCTGAAATTTTAAATTGGGTTAGTGGCCAAATTTTTTGAATTTGCCCATATGGAAGGCATTGACCCATTAAGGATGATATGTACAAAATTTATACAATCATAATGTTTGAGGACATATTTTAATATTAAAATGTTACAAGAAAAAATTTTGAATACACATTTCTTATATATCAAGAGTCCCTCTTTCGAATGGCGTGATCAAAAAAACAAAAAAATGTTAAATGAACAATTTATAGGGGAGAGTCTCCAGTTTTGAGACGGGTTTTATTTTTGACCCGTAAATTGTAAACGGGTAAACAAAATTGTGAATAAAATACACCATTCGAAAGGTAACAGAAATACGCAACTTTTATTAAAAGAAAGTATAGTGTTTCGATGAACTCAAAAAATTTTACGATACATTTTCCGAGCACATCGCTTTTTTCAACAACAAAAAATGTCTCCAGTTGTGAGACACTCATTAAAAATTGCTAAAATTTAATAAGTTTGACATAAAACGTTATGTTTAGTAGAAATAATTAAATATATTAATAATATATGTGACCTGGTCTATGAAAAGGGACCTAACGTGTCAAAAAATCATTTTTTACTTTTTTGTTGATTCGGAGAGGGCTTGAAACGCTCTTTAAGATGATGAAAACCAAAAAGTCATAAGTTGATTAGAAGTTTAAAAAGAAAATTTTTAAAGTCAAAAGAAACAAGTGTTAAAATACGATAAAACTGATTCTGTGTTATTATACAAATTAAAATAACGAAGACGATAATTTTTTATTATTTAGAAAAGTTGACAGTTTCTTTGACAACTGTCAACAGTTAAAATTCAAATTTGATATCATATTCGTAATCAGCGACCTCAAAAACCGTATTACTGTCTTTTTTACAAAAACGATCACTTTTTAGAGAAGTTGACAGCTGTCAACTGTAAAATTGTCAACATCATATTCGTAATCAGCGGCCTCGAAAACCCTTACAAACATGTGTCACTTATTTATACTTATTGTTGCTAGTTAGAAAACTTAGATTATTTTTTCTATGTTTGGGGAGTTTGTTATTAATTTATATAAACAATTATTTAAAAAAAAATTTCATTACTTGTATGTTTTTTATTTTGATACTGTGATCCACGGTGAAGAAAATAAGCCTATCTTCATTAAAAAATATCAATATTTAAAAAAGTTACAAGGGTTTTTCAAAGTTAAACTTTAACTGCTGTTTTCTTGAAAACTTGTTTTCGCACGTAAGGTCCCTTTTCACTGTCCAGGTCACATATACTATTATATACTAAATAATAATATTTATTCGCCAAAATATGACTATCAAATAATCACAATTTAATAGCTTCAACAAGAGCATTAAAATTGATTTCTTCTGAATCAAATGACTTTTTTCCACTTGACATGCCCAAAAATACTAGAAAAAAATCAAAACAACATTTAAATAGTATGCCTGCAAAGTCCTATTTTTTATGCTGCCCAGATGGGTGTTGACACCGTCTCACAACTGGTGATATGCTGTGTCTCACACCCAGAAATTGGCGCTATTTTGAAAAAGAAAAATTAAATTTACCTTTTCCAATTAATTAACTTGGAAAAAAAGTACTTTGTATTTATTGAAAAAACGCTTTTTAGTCGATTATCACACACAGTGTTAGTATTTAACAAAAACAGTTTACATATCCGCTTCGGCGTACACGAAAAAGTTGGCTCATATAAAAAGAAATGTTTTTATATAAACCAATCGGCTTTTTAATATTCCATGTTAAAAAAAATTGACTGTCTCACAACTGGAAGTGTCTCACAACTGGAGACTCTCCCCTACAACATTTTTTAAGAAGAAACACGATTTTTTAAAATTTTTTATTTTTTTATAGCTAAACCCTTCAACATACCTTCTGCTAATACAAATATCGCGTCAAAAATAGTGGGGCTACAAGTTACAACTGTTTTGGGAAATAAATTTTTAAATGTCTGCCACAAAATGGCGACTAAAGTTACTTTTTTAAACAATATTATAAACAAACGAAGGAAATGTTCAAAAATAGTTAATTCTAGTACATGGAAGATTCAATATGACCGTCGATAATTAAAAAAAATAATTGTATTCTCTTAAAACTAGTTACTCGGGTTTTTTTATTATATCTCGGTTGCTCGGTTAGATCGTTTTTATCATGTCAGCAATATAATGAATATTTTTAAAACAGTGCTTTTCAGAATTGCATACTTTTGACCTGTAAATCATAAAAAGATTTGACATAAATTTTGACGTAAAGCGAATGCCCTTATTCAGTAGAGTGAAGCGAAGAAACACTTTTTTCGAATTCGAATACAAACTGAATCTTTTTGATAATTCTTGTCTTTGATACTACTGGAATAGAAGCTTTATTATAAACTTCTACGATTTTCTCTGATACAATGTTAGCCACATCAGAAAAACATACATTAATCCTATTGACTTTCGACGAAAGATTAAATCTTTCCTCATTGCAGCATCGTAGAACATTACCATTAGTAGGAAGTACAGAGTTTGGCAAATCCTAAGGATTGCCAATTAGTGAACATTCAAATGAATGTCTTGTTATAGGTTTTCGTTTCTGGGTAGTAACTTCCATTGAAATAGAAAAATTAAAGACCTCAAACGTAAGGTACCGGAATAGTTGTAGATATGTTATTATTTTTAAGTAAAGTTTGCGATGTATTGGTAAGTAGTGAATCACTAATAAAATACAATAAAAAAAAATTATTTTCAAGTAAGAGAAAAATTCAACTGCAAATGCAATGACAAAACCTTAATTAAGTGGATCAACTTCAAGAAATGAGTTTCAATACACTTATAATTGTCGCTGCTAATGTAAAGTAGTATTCTGTTTCCAAATATCAGAGTATCTCTAATGTGGTTGAAATTGTGAAATATATACCTTAAGAAACATATACTGACGTATGCTCCACCAACTTAAAATTTTCTCTTCGCTTAGAGTACTGATTCTAAGAAAAAAATCTATAGTTAACATTTACCTTTAGGTTACAGTTCCCGTAAAGAAGCAACTGCATATGATCCTAAAAACAAATTATAGAATTTTTCCCTTAGAACAGTAGTTTTATTTTGAGTCACTTTTGTGTACTATTACGTTGCATTCACTATAATAAATCGTTTGATTATATTTTAGATCTTTTATATGATACTATATTCATATAAAAATATGTATAAAAGGTGATCTCGATATATATATATATATATATATATATATATATATATATATATATATATATATGTGTGTGTGTATTTTTATATAGAGTGGCGAATTGATATATTATGGTGAAATGATATTCGTTTTCCGGCCTTGATATAATTTGTGTGGCATCTTTTTGAGCAATTGTGTCTAAAGGAAAGGATATTTCTCATACTTGATGTAATTTGAGTGGCATATATTAATTCGTGCCTTATTAAAATCGTTTGTTCTTATTATAAAATAAATATCTTAATATAATACTCATTTTATCATTTGTTATTTTAAATTATTATTTTTATTTTGTCACATGTTTAAATATTTTTTAAAAATAAAATTAATGGTTACAATGCGAGCCAGAAATATGTCGCTATAGTTATTTATTAAAACACTGAAGTGTCCTAAGCTATCCCATTTTCCTGTGGCGTTTGCATAATTCACTACCGTGATGCATACAATAAGAATAATCAATAACAAAATGCTTAAATAATACAAATTTCTATACTAACCTCAGGCCATCCGTCGCATTTTATTTCAATAAGTAATTTTTCTGCGATGCAAATAATATTAAGACGAGCACGGAAACGGTTGACATTGACTCGATAATGACTGGATTCAACTTTATCTCCTCTTTGACGTAAAGCTTTCAATTGAAACGCTGGTGTTGCCTCGCAGTCGCATGTGATAGACTGAAAATAATTTAATTAATTAATAAATTTGGTGAGCACTGGGTGCAACTAAATAATCGTCATTTAAAATATGAAATATTGTGAAAAAAGTTAGGATAAAATTAAATCAGGGATCGTCTCGAAATGAAAGTGTCGTGTCGGTATCGTGTCACTTAAGGCGTACTTGCGTTTGCGAAGGCAAAAAATAGGCCCCACTTTAATGTTTTTTCAGTCATTTTATTTAAAATATTAAAAACGATTTTTGTACCTTAAAGTACATTATAAAAACTACAAAAAGAAAAATTCTTTCGTTTTTTAAACGTTATTTACGATACGTAGAGGGCCCCAAAGATTGGCGATCTCAAATTTGTAAGAGTTTGCGGTGCCCCTTATAGAGCCGCTCTTGACAGTCTAAAATCAAAAAAACAAAATTTATTCTTTAGTATACATCAATACCTAGTGGACGTATATGATGAAATTAAAAAAAAGTAGAAAATGCGGTACTTTTAAAATCAAAAATTCAAAAGATCAAAATCATAATTTCTTAAAAATTGACTTTGAAAGTACCGCATTTTCGTTTTTTTACTTTTTTTTAATTTCATATACGTCCACTAGGTATTAATGTGCACTAAAGAATAAATTTTGTTTTTTTAAATTTAAACTGTCAGGAGCGGCTCTATAGGGGGCACCGCAAACTCTTACAAATTTGAGATCGACATTTTTGGGGCCCTCTACGAATCGTAAATAACGGTTAAAAAACGAAACCATTTTTTCTTTTTGTAGATTTTATAATGTACTTTAAGGTGTAAAAATCGTTTTTAATATTTTAAATAAAATTACTGTGAAAAAAAACATTAAAGTGGGGCATCTTTTTTGCCTTCGCAAACGCAAGTACGCCTTAACAAAAATACCTAATTCAATTAAATGACATATGAACAACTGATTATTGGATTACAACTTATCATCAAAAATTTAATAATAAATCTAATATTTCAGACCTGTGCAGTAGCATAATTTAGTAGTTATTGCTGCGCTGTAGTGTACCATTGCACTTGGACATGCGCAGAAGTTCAATTTAGTTGTTATTACTGCGACCGAACCATGGCGATATATATGTAATATGCCTGTATAAAGCCAATGCATGTGCACTTTATGTAACATGAACAAAAAGGATGTTATTATTGCGCGGTAATATATTCTTATAGTAATTTCTGCGCACTACTTTATAAAGTTATGACATGCGCGAATATTCAAGTGTAATGATAGACTAATGTGCAACAATTACTTCTAAATTGGACTACTGTACATTTCAAAGTGTAATAATAGACTAATGCGCATCAATTACTACTGAATTAAACTACTGCACATGTTAAGAAAATTTTAAAATATATTATATAATTATGTGTATTATAAGAAATAACAATTTTATTGTAATTAGTAATTGCATTAGTGTTAACATTTTTCATGAAATAAAATCTTATGCAACACATTATAACCTTTGAAAATTTATATTGAAATCTTCTATAGAAATTTTAATATAATAAATATTAAAATTATTAATTTTTGTGACATTCACATTCCAGTGTTTAATCATTTTGAGATTTAAAGTTTTATACAATGGAAGTAACGGCACTTTATAAATTTATTTTATAGATATATTAATATAAAAATTAAAGAGTGTATACTTTTGAATTTATTAAAAATGCTTTCATTTTTTACAATAACTTAAGATTTATTTATTTATACACTCGTCTTTTTCCTTAATATTAGCGTTACAAGTGTATCCGTGGAAATATTACATACTACAACTTATACTAAATTTTTGCGTCTACAGAACGGCTTGAAAATTAGGAGTACTCGCATTTGCCTGGACCACCCGTCTAATGGGTTTTCTTGCCAGTGAAGAGGGAAACTGTAGAAAACCTCTCCGAGTACAACCGGTTTATCGACAGTAGAATTCTAATGGTGTGTACCGGACAATAATCGATAGTGCACATCATAATACTTCGATGTCAAACCTCCCGCTCAGATTATCTCACGTGCCGGAAAAATCCCAGGCTAATGGGCGCGAACCAAGTACCCTTGGTCCTAAGCGTCCTAAGAAACAATTCTATATTATGACGTATCGTAAAAGCCACTATGGCCTGTAGGTCAAAAAATAGGTCAAATTTGACATAACACGGTGGTCAGGAACAGATTTTAAATGAAGTGAAAATGTAGAGAATATCTGTTTACAAAGATTTATTGTATACATAACTACAAATCAGAACCACTTTAATTCACATCTTTATTAGATCATGTGCATGTTTTACAGCATTTAAAAAATTTTAATTTTCAAAAAACTTGAAAATTGACGCAATGTCAAGGTGTTTTAAATAATAAAATATATTCAAATAATAATCTTTCTTCAACAGTTATGCATATGATGGATGATTTATTGAATTTACTTTATATTTATTCCACACGGAGAAAAATGAAAAAGAATAATCAAATTCACCCTGAGGAGTTTTAAACTTCAAAAGTTGACATTCTTCTGTTTAGAACTTAACCTGAGGAGTGTTAAATTTATGTTTCTCATAATAAGTTTAATTATTCTTAAGGGGTTACTCCCACTTGTAACTTTTAAATTTTACGAATTTTTTTGCCTATTTTTGAAGCATAACCATCTATTAATACGTCCTTCAAGTTTCAAGTCGATCCGAAAAAAATTTACTAAGATATGAACATTATTAAAAGAACAAAATCCGTTACGTTGAAGATTGCCTAGCATAATTATAAACCACTACCAACAAATGTTTTGAACTCTATCCATACCTATATAAACACTGATCTGAGTAAAGAAACTTTACTTAAACAATGTGAAGACGTACTATCTGGACACGAAATAGATTTTTAAAAAAAATTTCTTACTACTGTAAACTGAAGTTAAAATATTAAATGCGTTTTTCTCGAAATGGCATTTTTTAATTCGGTGACCAAAATAACTTGAAATCTACTGAACCGATCTTTCTGAAATTTGTCAGGCTTATTCAATAGATATAAATGTAGTCTTTATTCGTTCGATTTTTTTCGATAGAAAATGGTTGTTTTATAGACGAAAACAACGGCCGTTTCTTTAGTGAAAATCAAAACACGAATTTTGATTGTCAGTCATTTTCTCAAAAATGCATACTTTAATAAATCCTTTGATTAAAGACTAGTTTACAGTGTTATTTAACTAAATCTATTGACATTTTTTGTTTCACATGATCCAGTTCACTACAATTTTGGTCACCGCAAAACAAAAATAATAAAAAGAAACTTCATTTAGCAGAAATTTCTAACAAAATTATTTAAGCCACCCCATCTCTCTCCCCACTGAGTATTTTTTAAATCCAGCCTTGAATTCATAATCAGCGACCCTAAAAACCCCTGAGTAACAAATTTTAAGCAAATCGGAGATAATGTAACATTCTGCCTCCATATAAGATTTTCCATTTTAAATTTTAGAAATGTAAGTTCTGATTTAGCCCCACACCGTCATCTAATAATTAATCTGCAATAAATTTTTTCTTCCTAACGTTTTCCATTAAACTTTTTTTCTACTAAACTCAGTACACCTTCAGCTAATAAAAAAGGCCATATGATAACACTTTAATTATAACGATAAAAACCCAAAAAAATTGAAATTTTTTTTTACTTTTATTGCGAAAAAACGACATTTTTATATATTAACGGCAACTATTATTACAAGAAAAATGACATGTCCCTAAAACCTCATAAAATATATGCTTTACGAAATAGCGCGTTCACAGGTTATTAACATTATTTGAAATTCTTCATGGTTTCGGAAATATTTGACTTGTTCGGTTTAGCCCCAGTTTCCCCTATACGTCAGAATGTAAACAAAATTCTTCTGTTTTGTGATTATGAATTCTTGGACTGAACTAGAAATCTCACTGGTCTTTATTTGCGCATGCGTAACATACAAATATGCTAATTAATTCTTTCAATTAGAGTCTCTCATTTTGAAACTTTCAAAATGTTGTAAAACCTGTAAATGATCTATTAAAGATGTGAGTTGAAGTGATTCTGTTTTGTTGTTATGTATACAATGAATCTATGTAAACAGATTTTCTCTACATTTTCACTTCATTTAAAATCTGTTCCTGACCACCGTGAGCCGAAAACAACGACCGTTTCTTTAGTGAAAATCGAAATCTGAATTTTGACTGTCAGTCATTTTGTCAAAAATGCATATTTTTATAAATCCTTCGATTAAAGACTAGTTTATAGTGTTATTTAACTAAACCTATTGACATTTTTTGTTTCACATGATGCAGTTCACTACAATTTTGGTAACTGCAAAACAAAAATAATAAAAAGAACCTTCATTTATCAGCTAATAAAATTATTCAATATTTTTTAATAAAAAAAATTCTAAAATGCATATGGGACATTTTTTGCCAAGCGGGCCACCCCATCTCTCTTCCCACCTCTAAGTAATAAATTTCATGAAAATCGGAGGATCTTTTAAAATTTTTCTGCCATATTGGATTCGCCATTTTGTATTTTTTAAATCTAGACTTAAATTCATAATCAGCGACCCTAAAAACCCCTGAGTAACAAATTTTAAGAAAATCGGAGATGATTCAACATTTTGCCTCCATATTGGATTATCCATTTTAAATTTTAGAAATCTAACTTTTGATTCTTGTTCTGCGACCTAAAAACACCTTTGCAAGCTTATTTTTAAGTGTTTAGAAGAATCATCTATAATTGAGCTCTTAATGTAAGCAATTCTTGTATTTTCTCGACTGTAAGCTTTATATCTCAGCCGCTATCTTGTATTTTTAAAATCGCCCAACGGTATACAAAAATAAATAGACATAGAAATAAATAGACATTTTTAGCTAATTGCTCCAAAAGGTTCTGAATTTTTTTAATGAAAAAAATGGAGAGAGAGAAATTCACAAAAAAAGACTATTTTTTGCGCTGCAACTGGGGGTAACCCCTTTTATAGAGTTATACATTGTATGTCA